CCCAGGGTGGGCACAGGGCATCCAGCCTGGCCTGACCCCAGCCCTCACAGGCCTCTTTCTGGCCATGCCTCAAGTGTCCTGGGTGCACCCCAGCAGAAGTATAGAGATGGGCGCTGCCCGGCACCCCCCACCCCCTGCCTGCCCCAAGGGGCAGTGTCGGCACGGAGACGGAGACCGGACTTGTCTTTCAGCAACCTGGAACAGAACCCTCCCGACGACATGGATTTTCAGCCATGTTTCAGGAACGAGCCTAAGGGACAGTGCGACCTCCAGCTCATGAGACCCCGCGGACGGGGCCTGCACAGCGCGCGAGCCCTGCGGCCCGGGGGCGGCCCCGAGGCCCCGTACCGTATAGGAACTGGGAGCACTGGATGTAACCCTCCTCCATCTCCTCGCACTTGTCCGCGGCGGTTTCGATGTCGCTGATGGTGGAGGCGAAAATGGCGGCGCCGCTCTCGACCAGCTGCTTGCAGAGGTGGACGCTGTTGCAGGAGGCGGCGCAGTGCAGCGGCGTCCTGGAGGGTTGGGAGACCGGGCTGTGTGTGCGCCGAGGCCACCGGGCCCGGGCCCTGTGCCTCGGGGCCCCGCATGCCCCTGTGTCGTCTTTCTAGGGACCTGATTCCTACACTGTGTGGGCTGCACCCACAGCTCTGAAAGGGGGGCCGGGAGTGGACTGAGAAATGGCCCGGAAAACAGATGCCCCCGAAAAACAGATGCCCCCGGCAAGGGCGCCGCGCTCCCGCTGCTGACTCGCACCTCCAAGCGGCCTCAGTGGTGAACGTTGTTTACCACAGCCACAGAAAGACGGACGTTCAAACACAGCAGAGCAGACTGCCCATCCGAAGCTGACCACGCGTGTGACAGGCCAGCGGACACGGCAGCAGCAGGGCCCCGAAGTGGACCACACCAACGCCCTAACGGCCAAGCCTGCAGCCGATCCGGCCGCTGGGAAACGAGTCGCAGCGAGCCAGATGCTTGGCCTGCGCCACTGACTAGCAGGTCAGAGAACGTGCCCACGGCGCCTCTGACAATCGCTGTGGGTAGGGGTGGGTGCCAGGACACCCTCTCCCCGACACGCCCCGTGTCTGGCCTGCACGTCTCCCTGTGGCTCCGCAGGAGGGGCCCTCACCAGCCGTCGCTGTCTGCGGCATTCACGTTGACCCCGAAGTCTAGCAGGAACTTGACGATGTGGTGGTGGCCGGCGCAGACGGCGTTGTGCAGCGGGGTGATGCCCTCGTCGTTGGGCTTGCTGGGGTCCTCCACCTGGGACACAGGGCACGGGTGAGCGCCGCCCACGGAACGGCGGTGTGGGGCTGCAGCTGTGCTCGGCTCACCTCGTAGATGACCCTCTGCACCAGGTCGAACTCGCCTTCCAGGGACGCGTCCAGGAGCAGCGCCAGGGGGTTGAAGCGCACCCGCAGCCCGCGGCCCGTGCGCTCCGAGTCCGGCTTCTTCAGGTTGGTCCGTTTGCTCTGTCGAGGGGAAGCAGGCTGGACTTAGAGGCGGCCCGGGCGGGGAGGGGCCGGGCTGGGAGTCTTGGGCAGTGCTCACCCCCGGTAGCACCTCCATGCTGCAGCTCACATGCGAGCTTGTGGCACAGCACAGCCACGGGATGGCCACGGCCCGCCAGGCACCCACAGAGGGAGCAGCGCAGATGACGGGTAAGATGCTTAACTGCTGTCATCCCCAGAGCTGGCAGCCCGTTCCTACCCACTGCAAAGGGCTGCCAACCCCGACCTCCCACCAGAGAGCTTTGTCTAGAAGGCTCTTCTCCCCCTAGCTGCCTGCCCTTCCGGTTCCAATGGCAGCTTCCCCTACCAGGGAAGCCTCGGGGCCCCTGGCTAGGTCCTCTAGTGAGACCTGTGTGGCCACGCCCCCTGCTTTGGCGCCTGTATGTGCTGAGCAATGGGCTCGGGGAGGGCAGGCATGGCTCTGCCAAGCCCACCGCTCCCAGCGCTGACCCGGGCGGGTCCTCCGCAAGCACTTGCTGGACGATGAGGAACCCGTGGCCCCGATCCAGGACACCCACCGTCAAGGAGGCTGGCGGGGGCGCGACAAGGGGCAGCGATGATGGGACTCGCTCCCCTCCTGGGGAGGGGGCCTCGGCCCCCGGGCTGGGGACATGCTGTGTGGCAGGCGCTGTGGCCACGTTGTTGTTGTCGTCCTCGGCGGGCTCGACTGCTGGGCGGGCAGTCTGGAGACAGCCGAGCCCCTCTGCCTCAGGTGGAGGGAGCTCGTTGTCATTGGCGTCTGAGGCCGGGGCAGGCTCCCCGAGCGGAGTTGTGGGCTGGGCGGGGCCGGCCTCCCCCAGGTTCCCATTGGCGTTGGCGTTCCCATTGTCTACGTCGGCCAGCGTGCCGGTGAAGCCCTGCGAGGGGCTGGGCTGGCAGAATGCGGTGCCCTCCATGCCGCCGGCCAGGGTGTTGAAACGCTGGTACAGCAGCTTCTGGATGTTGGGCCCGCCGGGGCCCTCGGCCTCCGTGATGGAGCCGCGCTTCTTCAGCGGCCGGGGCGCGTGGGCCAGCTTCCTGCGCAGCGCCTCCAGGTCAGCATCGCTCTGGTAGCGCAGCGGCGAGTGCACGATGGGCGTGAGCTTGGTGGGGCTGAGCGGCCGCGGCAGGCTCTCCACGGTGCCCGAGCCGCCATCCCCGGGCGGGGCTGCGCTGTCCGGCTCTGGCTCCTTCTCCGTGCCCTCTGGAGGCGGCGGGGGCTGCGATGCGCTTGTGGCCAAGGACCCATGAAGAAACGGCAACGGTGATGGGGACGTTGAACCGGAAGGTAGGACGGGCTTCCCGTACACTGGAGGAGACAGAGGACAGGGGGCCTTCAGCATCCTCCGGGACCCGGGATCTCCGCACTGTGCACCTCTGGTGACAGGACGGGGTCCCAGGCTGCTGAGCCTTAATTTAAACCCCAATAAGCCCTCTGTTCACAGAACCCACCAACTCCTTTTGGAGGGCAGAGCGTCTGATGTACCAGTTTTTACATTTCGGATTTGGAAAATTACATTCGGAATTTACAGAATTGGGGCTTTTAAGAGCGTGGGGAGGGCAGAGGCTGTGGACCTAACTTCTCTTCCCCGTCCTGGTTCTGGCTGAGGAGAAAGATGTCATCTCTGAACGTACATCTGACCCTCGGGCTAAGCTGAAGAGTGTAAAGCACAGGGCGCCCCAGGCAGGGAGGTTTGCCCGGGGGCCTAGGAGCTCTGGAGGAGGGTGCCAGCCCCTCCCAGCACGGGAGGGCCCTGGGCATGCAGTGGCCGGCACCCCCAGGAACCCCTGAACTATGGGTCTGGACGGACCTCCCCTCTCCCAAATCAGGGCTTTTCTGGTAGAAGCTCCCAAAGCAACAGACACCCTGCTCACACCGCCACCCCAGGGGACCAGCTCAGCTACTGCCAGAAGGCGGGGGCCAGATCCAAGCGGAGCCCCCTATTGCCGGGAGCTGGGAGGTCAGGTCCAGGCAGAACCCCGATGCCAGCTCCCTGCATAGCTCCTCACAAGCTACCAGAAAGCAAGGAAGAGAGGACACTCTGACATTCCCCTATTCTGGGGCCGGATTTCCTGAGGAATGCGGGGAGGTGGGTGCTCAGACAGGAATCGGGGAGCTGGGAGCTGCCTGCCAAACTGGTCTGTCCATGTCATGTCCTGTCGTCTCTAAAGCCACCCTTTAGGTAAGAATCCAGCTTAATCGCACAGAGCACGTGGCCCAAACGGAAGGGAGTGGGCTGGCATCCTCCTAAGTAAAGGACAACTTCCCGGTCCCAGAGGAGGTGGCCATGCACCCACTGTACCTGCTTTAACCGACTTATTTAAGGCGCTGTGGGCCGCTGGCTGGTAATTCTTAGGCGGCGTGGCTTGCTGCAGGTACATGGAGTAGATGGAACTTGAATTTACTGTCTGGGGTCCCTTCCTAGGGGACTGGGGCCTGGACCCTTTATCAGCTAAAAAAGGCCTAATGGCCACAGTCAGTGGGAGTTCCGGTTTGCCATCCCCCGCTGGAAATGCAGGCGGCCCCGCTGGCGGGTACGTGGGACTTGGCGGCACAGAAATCCTCTGCTGAATCTGCTGCGAAGAACCCGGCTGGTGGGTGCCGCCTGTGGGGGGCAGCGGGCTGGGTTTCTGCCGACTGGGAAGGCCTGCGCCAGGCCTGGGCGAGCTGCCCTCGTTCCTCCTCTCCAGGGAGTTTGTCGACCCTGGACCCATGGGCGCAGGACTTGGGTACGTCCCATAGCTCGGAGGCAGCTGCTTGCCGACACCAGGCATAGAGGGTGGCACTTTACCCATCTCGATGCCCTAAATTTAGTCGTCAAGAAAGAAAACAAAGTTACCCTTTGAAAAGTTAAGCATATTTCCATCCACAGTCACAAGAGAATCCAAAGTAGGATTTAAAATCCTTAAAATCGGCTTGTGACCGGGCATAGGGCACACTGGGGATCAAACAGAGAGGGGCTCGTCACCTGCCTGCAACAGAACCACCCTGACCAAAAGGCCTTTATGCTCCCACACTGCTCGGGCGCCCAGGGTCCACGACGCTTTCAGACTGGGGATAATGTGAACAGTAAAGAGATTCATTTGCCTCATGACACCTCCTACGCCTCAGTCGAAGATGAAGGCCAGATAGGCCAGATCCTGACTTTGGCTGGGACTTGTTTGTGTGTCACAGGGATAATGACAGACGCCTACCAGCTTCTCAGTGGTTCCCAGAGCTGATGGGGGCACGGGCTGGCTGGCGACGGTCCCCTGCTTGAGAGGCCCCTCCATGCTCGAGTCCTTCCAGTCCACACTGGCAAGTTGCACTGGTTTCACGGAAGAGCTAGAATTTTGTTTTAATGTTGGCCAGTTTCCATCATTGGCTTGAAAAGAACATAAAATTTGTCAAAATTTTCTTGAAATTAGTTGAACCAACATAAGAGTATCCCCGACCCCGGCCCCAGCCAGAGGTGAAAATCACTTTCCAGGTCACACTGGAGCCACAGCGCCCTGGTCCTGGCCACCCCTCCCGGCAGGACAGTGGCAAGACCAGGGCCGCCTCTGCTGGCAAGGTGTCGCCAGCGCCACACGGCCCTCGTGTGTGCCGACTCCAGCCATGACCCAGCAGGGCAAGCGGCCAGAGCACTAGAAACAGTCCTGGCCCCCACGTAAATACAGGTCAAACCCATTACATCAACACCAACGAATAAAGCAGCATCGGCACCTACTGTTCAAACGCTGCTGACACGCACTTTACGTATGATAAAGATTTACACATGATGACAAAGATTTACATGTGACAACAAAGATTTACATATGATGACAAAGATTTATCTTTTGCCTTCGTAACAGGTTTGACCTGTACTGCTTCCAGTGTTAGAAGAAAAATTCAACTGAAATCTATCAGAAATTTCTATCCTCTAAAATAACGCATGATCACAGGAGGCTGGCACCCGTTCCCGCTGATTGCAGTGGCAGCCTATTGTTCTACTGAGTGATTCGAAAGCCAGACAACCGTGTTTACAGGAAAGCCATCGAGAAGACAGGTTTTTAGAGAGCATTTTCCAAACTGAAAAAGGTCCAAGCACTGCTGGTTCCTCAGGCTCACGCAGTGGTAAGCCCGGCCACCGGCGCACGGGACAGAAAGCAGTCAGGGGAGTGTCTGAGTCCTCCCGACATGAGCAGCATGCCTCGGCCCTCACCCACCGCCAGAGTGGGCAGATGGGGGACTGAGGAGCAGCTGGGCAATCTCTCCGCTTGCCACGCAATGCGGGAGCCAAAGCCGCAACTCGGGGAACAGGACAGCGCCCTCACGTGCTCAGGGCATGACCAGGCGGCAGCACGTGTGCAGGAGGGTGAGGAGAGCCTGTGGCAGCAGCCACACGGGGCATGCCCCGAAGCCGAGTCTGTGCTCGGTCGCAGCACTGGAAGCCTGGCTGTGTCCTCCGCGATAAAGCCAAGCCATCCACGGCAGGCTCCAGGTAGCAAGGCCCAAAAGGTTCCGGCCAGGCTGCAAGGGCAAGCCGAGGCATACCCAGGCCCCAGTGCAAACGTCACCTTGCTCCGTGTGGCCTGTCAGTCTGCCCCGGGCCAGAAGCAGGTGGGCTTTCCTGCCCCCTTGGTTACATCTGAGACTGGGGAGGTATGGGCAGAAATGCCAGGTTCACCTGGATGCACTGAGGGGACACTCGGGCTGATGGCAGACTCGCTGGCCGTGGGGGTAGATTTCCCGTGCCCAAGTCTCCGGGGTCACAGGCAGTGTGGCTGTCCAGCAGCTTCTGAAATCTCGCAGCAACGGAAGTTGCATGGCGCTCAACCACAGGAGGACCAAGGAGGGGCTGGGGCTTTCTTCAGGAAGAGGCAGCAGGTATAGAAGGAGGGCTGTCTACCTTTATCACGAAGGGACGACTACCATCAAGTCTGATGGGAGACTCTTGCCTTGAAGGTAGAACTAAAAGCCTCGATGAACTCAGAAAATCATCTTCATTTGGTAAAACGAAAACCCAAAAACCCTTGCTGTGCCAGCTCCGGTCGAACCCTTCCTGCGTACGATCTGCTATATGCGGCCCAGCCCAAACCTCATGCCTGTCCGCTGAAGGAAGGGACAAGTTATGTTTATGTGGCATTTTTTCTAGATGCGGTAGGAAGACCTTTCTCAGTTTGGAAAAACAAACGCTTGTTGACCCAGCGGTATTAGAAAGGGTCAGAGGTCCCCCGGGCCGCCAGCCGACATACGGTTCGTACGTGGGTTGGCAGAGCGCCGTGAGGAGCCACAGTCAGGCCCGACGTCGAGGTCTGACACTGTCCATGAGCTGGTGGTCACTCTGGGTTTACCACGGCCATCTGCGCGACACGGAATCCGAACAGCCGACAGTGTGGGTCAGTGTCCCCGCTGGGAGTGTCCACCCCAGCTCCGCGTCTGGGCCGAGATCCCGCCCCCCATGCGGGGTCACACAGGCTTCCTGCATCGTCACCTTGTACTGAGTGGGAAGACCGGGGCTGGCGCTGAACCCTGACGGACACCTCTGGGCCCTGGCGGGGATCTTGCAGCCTGTGAGGCGCCCACAGAGAAGGGGGAGAGGTCCCGGCTGGGAGGTGTTTAAAATGAAGGCGGCAGAGACGCAGCTGGCTGTGCTGTCTGCCGTTCGAAACACCACAGGGCAGTTCAAACTATAAGTAACAGCTCATCCGAGAAAGCTGCGATCTGCGTTCACGCCGACCACAGACTCAGCTGTGTGGCTGCCAAGACACGGCCGGTGACGCCTTCCCTCGCCTGGGCCAGAACGAGTCCCGGGCCCCCCGGCAGGAGCAGCGGAGGGGTCACTGCTCAGACTAGGTGCCGGGCGAGAGACCGTGAAACACACAAACAAAGGGCTGCACAAATCGACCAACTGTCCTGAAAAAGTCCTCTAAATACAGGCTGACGCGGGACGGTCCTCAGGACCGTCAACATAAATGAAGACATGGTGGGAGGTTCGAACCCACGCTCCGCGGTTCTCTGTGTTACAGGGAAACACGTCCGCCTCAGTCGGAAGGAAAATCTTACTGCAAAGCCGCCCTGGCTTTTCAGTGCACCGGTTCGAGGACGCCGCTTCCCTCCAGGAGGGAGGCTGACTCCCTGGAGGGCCCACTGGGTCCTCGCCGTCCTCAGGAGAGCAACGCGCTGGCACAGTGCTGGGGGCCAAGGCCAGTCACACCACGTGCTTCAGTGGGCCAACGGCCAAAGTGACGGTTTGTGGACTTTTTGATGGATTAAAACTACACTCAGTGGGGAAAGGAGAGAGCGGCCATGTGTTTATGGGATTGTCACTTGTGGCACACAACTCCTAAAGGCCGCCCCAGAAGACAAAGTGCCTCAGGGGAGACAGAGTGCGATGCAGGGGCCTCTTCCCTGCTCACTTACCCCCCAGGAAGAGGGTCCCGCCACTCACCGGGTTTGGGTCTTCCATGGGCGGCACCTGAAGCAATAGTCAGAGACTGGGGCTTTATGGGGTCCCCCGGGGCCGAGTAGTTGCCGGCGCTGGGAACCTGGATGTAAGGGCCCACGGCAGCAACCCTGCCCGGCGTGCTCAGCGGTGACTGTGGCGAGGACGCGCTATTCACACGGCTCAGCTACAAAACAGGGAGAAATGAGTGTTAAGACTCTCCTGAAGGAAATGAGTGTTAAGATTTTCCTAAAGGAAACTGTAAGCCTCGTGTGACAGCCTGCTCAGATTTGAACCACTTGCTACTTCGTACTCAGGCGGCTGTGTCACTGGGAAGACCAGTGTCTAGGAAGGCCGAGACTTTGAAGAAGGGCCCCGACCTGCAATCCTACCAACGAGTGATGGGTCTGGTAACACCTGCCATTTAGGAGCTCCAGAGCCAACAGAACTGCTGCCCAGGACACCTCCACAGACGCCACGCTCTCACCCGGGGGCGCTCTCCTCCCCCTGGGCGGGCACGGAGGCGTCCGGCAAATCCTGGACTCAGCCTGGCTGCAAATCCTGCCCTGCCACGTCCTTGTTGTGCTGCCTTGGGCAACCGACTTATCCTCTCTGAACCTCTGTGCCCATATCCATAGAGTCAGGATAAGGGTTGTTATAAGGACTGAATGAGCCACACAGGGCACAGTGACAGGGCCTGGAACCGGATGAGGCACTGACGAATTTCCTGAAGGCATGCTCTGCTGCGCTCAGCAAAGACACCAAGCCACAGCCAGTAACAGTGGTCACACAACACTGCCCAGCAACAGAAGGTCCATGAGAGGGATGTGACTGGAGACTCACTGACTCCTTAGGGGTTCCCCCAGACAGGCTCTAAGTGAGAGGTCTATAACGCTCTACAATTGTTTGCACAATTCTGCATGCATGAACATGTGTCATTTTGGTGAGAGGTCGATGACTTTGACAATAATTGCTCAAAGGTCCATAGGACCTTTGGGTGGAGAGACATCTCTGCGAAGCACCAACTTCTTCAAGGAGATCCCTCGAAGCATAAGGTTTGGAATGCAAGAAGTAACATTTATCTAGCCATGTGTGGTGGTTAATTTCATGTGTCAACTGGGCTAGACCATGGTACCCAGACATTTGGATGAATACATGTGGATGCTGCTGTGAGGATAGTTCTTAGATGAAAGTAACATTTAAATCAACAGACTGTGAGTAAAGCAGACTGCCCCCCATAACGTGGGTGGGCCGCATGCAATCAGTTGACGGCCTTAATGGAAAAAGACTGAGGTCATCCTGAGGAAGAGGGAATCCTGCCTGCAGACTCAAGCTGCGACATCGACGACTGCCTGGGTCTTCAGGCTGTATAGGCCTACCCTGCAGGATTTGGATGTGCCAGCTTCTATAACCATGTGAACCAATTCCCTAAACAACTGATCAACCACACACACACACACACACACGCCCTCCCCGCACTGGCTCTGTTCATGTAAGTAGGCATGGAGAATGCGCATGCGTCCTCTCCATGGCCTCCGCTGTTCTGAGAGAGAGGAAACCATAATCTGCACTCACAGAGTTACACAGATTAACCACTGACCTTTAAGCTCTCTGGTTAAAAAAAAAGTGTAGATTTGTAGATAAGAGACCTTTCACCTGAGACCACTGATTATGACAGTCACAGAAGTGGCAATCCCCTTCTTCCTGGAGCACCCCGGTCCCCACTCCCAATGGCAGAGCGCAGGCGGCTCTGACTCAGGCGTGCTGCCCTCAAACCCTGAGCACCACTGGCGGAAGAAAGGAAGTGCCACATCTGGCCAAAGACAAGGCACAGCCGTCCTCAGCTGACGCCCCACAGCGCTCAGCCGTGCCCGTGGCCACGGAAGCGCCAAGATTACCGGCAAAGCTTGGAGACACCTGCCCAACGACAGAGCTGGGCAGAGGGGCCCTGGGACATGGAGTGTCATACAGAAGTGACAAAGGAACGAGGAAATGACCTGGAGATGCCCATGTTGCAATCAGAAAAAAAGACTAGGTTCAGAACAGTGTGGATGATGTAATTCCTACAATTCTATTTTCAATTAATAATTAAATACTGTATTAAGCAAGACTGGAACCATTAACAACTATCATCCCCGAAGATGAGAACAGGTTGGAGGGCCTTTCACATTTTCCTTTAAATATTTCTGTACTGTTTTAACTTGTTTTTCAATGAGTATTTATTACCTTTGAAATTTTAAATACCAAGTAAAGAGATTTTTTTCAAAAGCACTGATTACTTATCTAGAACCTTGCTCGCGAGTTTACAAAGCCTTTCCACCTGGGTGATTTCTAAGACCCTTCGTGATGATTCCTGAGGCAGGGAGGACAAAACAGTTTAGAGGATGAACAGGCTGCGCGGGTCACGGAATCTGCCCACGTGGCTCAGCTTTTAATGGCAAGGCAGGACCCCGCCCTGCACTGTCGCTCCAGAGCCAAAGCTCCCCCGTGGAGAAGGGACAGCACCGCTGGGCAGAGGGAAGGCAAGGACAGCCCACGGCCGCCTGCAGGGGTGGTTTGGCTTCCACGCACCAGGACACAAATGCCTCTTTAGGAAAGAGAACTTTCTTCTACTGCCGTTTTTTATAGTTTATGGCCAATTTATGTTTTATCAGCTGTGGCAGACGGGGGGATAAAATGCCATTAGAGCGAAGATGTGCAGTTTGGGGCTGAACCATTTTTGGTAGTTTATCGCACGGAAATACTTTCTTTTGCACATGCCTGGACTTTCTTCCCGTACAGACGCTCGCGCAGCTCGCTGATGCGCTTGTCCATCATGGCCACCTCCATGTTGCGCTTATTTAAGAGTTCTTTCTGCTGCTGGAGTTTTGAATTCTGTTCCTGGTTAAGCTGGTTACGAATCTGCAAAATAGAAAATAGAACTTTTATGATTGGCGTTAATTAAAGGGTCGAATTCTCATCACCAGGGAGATTAAAAGAACAGTCCTTATGTGTATTTACACACGCACGGTTGCCTCAGTGCTAAACATTTACAGGTACGGCACAGATGAAGCCAGAACAGATGTCTCACGGGGCACAAGAGCGCACGTCTTCCCCAAAGCACCGGAGGACTGGTTCCAGTCATGACTACGGGGACCATGCTGTCTGTAGTCCTTGGGAATGGCGCTTCAGTGACAACTGCCTTGCAAGTATCCTCGAGGGACCTAAGGAGAGGTGTCTGCTCAGCGCACCACAGTCCTGTGAATGAGGCACCTCACTGTGGAGACAGCAGGAAAGGCACAAAGGATGGTCCAAATTGCCACACAGAATGTTCTTACATCATGTTAGTGGGCTGCAACCAGCACTTTCAGAAATGAAAGAGAACAGAAAACAACAGTGTCCGGCACACAGAGCGTGAGTTGTCTTGTTAAACTCACAGACGCACTCAGGTGCTGATGCACACACACTGCACGTGTGTCTTAGACGGGGGGGAGAGAAGGGGATTTTTTAACTTGGACTGCAGGCAAAAGAGTTGGAAATAAATAAACATAAATAAATGTAGTACATTCATTGCACCTCACCAAAAAATTCCTTAAAAACCCTCCACTTTTAACAATTGCTTAGAATGTAAAAAGAGTGATCCATTCTCACATTTCTATGCACTTGCGTTAGAGAACTTAACAGCAACAGAAGCGATTTTACTGGGTTAAATGTTAACCCAGTTAAATTAAATGTTCTCATTTCATAAAATGATATAATAGTAACTTAACAGCAACAGAAGCGATTTTACTGGGTAATTAAATGTTCTCATTTCATAAAATGATATAATAGTTTTCAACCAAGTACTAACAGAATTGCAAAACCTGCTCTGCCTTGAATCACGTGCTGGATGATGAAAGGAAGTCTTGAGAGCTGCCGTGGACCGAGCATTTGTGTCCTCCTCAAGTTCATACCCTGAAGCCCTAGCCCGCAACGTGATGGTATGTGCAGGGGGGCCTGAGGAAGGTGACCAGGCTTCGATGGAGTCATGCGGGCAGGTCCCCGCGAGTGCCCTTGTAAGAAGAGAGCCCAGAGCTGAGGACACAGCTAGAAGGTGGCCGTCTATAGGCCAGGAAGCAGACCGACCATGGAGCGCCCCGGCCAGCGCCCTAGTCTTGGACTCCCAGCCCCCAGAGGCATGAGACCCAGCGGCAGGCGTTTGGGAGCCCCAGTCTGTGGCATTTTGTCACGGCAGCTTGTGCTCACACAAGGACTTAACAACAGGCTTCGACCTCATCAAAACGGTTTACGCAGAGACCTGAAATATCGTCTCAAGCTTAATTCTTTACTATTCATCGTCTCGCCAAGCAAACTCTGCATTGAGCCTCTGCACTGGAAACATGCTAAGTGGAAGAAGCCAGTCACGGAGAACTGCACGTTGTGTGAACCTGTGCGCATGGAACATCCAGAACAGGCGAGGCCGTGGAGACGGAGGAGAGTCGTGGTTGCCAGGGGCCGGGAGGACTTGGGGGGCAGATATGAGGTGATAGTTAAGAGGTGTGGGGTTTCTTTCCGGGGCGATGAAGATGCTCTATAATTGGTCGTGGTGGCAAACGCAGGGCTGCGAAGATACTAAAAACCACTCAACTGTACTTGATGCGGGTGAGCCGCATGCTATGGGAATTACATCTCAAAGCTCTTAAAGATTCTTTTGCACTGATACCTTTTGAGCCTCCTGTTACCTTAGAAGCCACTGAGCTGTTTCCAGCCCCTGAGGCTCCCAGCCTGCCTAGCGCAGGCCCCACCCCCCGTCCCCAGCCCGGGGCTACCTGCAGCTCCTGGTACAGCCTCTTCAGCTCCAGCGCAGCGGGGCCGGTCAGCTTGCCGCTGTAAGGCTGGAACCCGTTCAGTTTCCCTTTCTTCAAGTCTTCCAGCTGCTGGCTGAGCTGATCCACTCTTAAAATCGCAGTCTGTACTTCCTGCTTCTTCTCCTGGAACATGGCACTGAACCTTTCTATTTCAGCAGCTAGAGTTTCCCACAAGAAAGAAAACAATCACTTAGTAGATATTCTTTATTATGATATTTTGTTATTTTTATTTTGTGACGTCTTCTTCATTTCTATACACTCGACTCGACTCTAGCATCATTGGTGCCAAAACTGGAGAGAAGACAGTGCTCTGTGTGATCCAAACTGCACTTCGGCAAGCCTGGGGGACCCAGAATATGACCGCTCTTATGGCAAACAATTATATTGTCACTCATTATTGAATAGTCGTTAATTAGGGAATTAGTTAAAAGCTAGCTTAGTCCAGCCACTTGGAAATCTCAACGCACCAAAGACCAAAGGCTCCGTCAGGGCAGGAACATCCAGATCTGTTTTGCTGTCACTGTGACATATCGTAGGCACTAACTGAACTGAAAATAACAAAGACACACTCACGAAAATAAAAACTGAGCATCTATGTGGTTCACCTTAATATGCGGGTAAAATTTAAGCTGTTTTAATTACAACAGGCCCTTGGCGTGAGTTGAACCTTGGAGTCCCCCCAGCCCCAATCCGGAGTGGCTGATACAATGTAATGAAAAGCTCTTCCTGTTGCATTGCTGGGGCTGCAAGAGATGATCTGCTAAGGTCACTTAACCTAACTGCCCCGCACCCATCCTTTTCGGAGCAGGTAAAGAGCAAAGCCTCAGTGCACCTTCTACCGGTTCGTGACTGACAGTGTCCCGAAGCTACTCCCGGTGGGTGTGGGTGTGGGTGTGGGTGTGGGTGTGGGCGCGGGCGCGAGAGGAGCCGCGGCCACGTACACAGGTTGCCATTCATAATTTTGCTGTAGTCCACCTGTCCTCTTGTGGCGCGGATCTTTTTCAGCTTGTTTTCCTGGGCTTCTACTCGTTCCTTCAACTTCTGAAGCTTTTCATTTTCAGAAATCGACTGCTGCTGACGGCGCTCCTGCTGCTTTAGGAAATGTAAACGCTGCTCCTAACCAAACAGGGAAATGGCAGACTTAGACGACGGAAGCACACGGTTACGCTCATACTCTAAAGAGATCTGAGTGGATTCCACAGTGTCACCTATCTTAATGAATAATCGAGAAATGCCACAGGAACCTGCACACATCAGGTCACACAGAACGGAACCAATGGGCAGAAGCAGGTGTGAGGTGTGAAGCGCGGGGGGTTCTAAGAGTGGATTTCACGCTGCACGCTGATCTAGACCATTCAACGGAGTAAACACTCCCGCAGAAGACTCTACGGCAGGACACAAGCGAACCCGCGGTTTCATGGCACTCTGCCAGGGACAACCCAGCCTTAGCTTCCTGCTAAGGTCCCTTATTTAATCTTCTAAAGGAAATGGACACTGACCAGCAGGGGATTTTATACTGAAAAGGGTCAGGTGATCAGCAAGGAGATAAACCTCCGAGCTGCTAAGTGACATCCTAAAGTCGAGGAAGTGTGTGTTTTCTTTGGGATTAGCTTCTTCGATACTAATGAAACATTTTACAGTCAAACAAGAACAAGACGATCCTAAACTAAAAATATATGCAATACTCTTCAGTAGTTTTTTTTTCCTCTTAATATGAAAATACAACTTAAGGATAACAGTCAACATTAAATATTCATGGTCCCATATATATGCATAAAATATACCTGAATGGGAGAGGCGTTAAGTGTGATTATGCAGGCATTACGCACTACATTCTATGGAAAGGAAATACACAAAAATCAGCATGAACCCATGATTCACACTGCTGAAAACGGCTAAGAATTTTAATAGTAATACTCTTGGATCAATATTTGGGGAAAAAGAATGAGAAAATTTTATAATTATGTAATTCTATATACATTTCATCTTAGAAATCTTATTAATGGGATGAAATACCTTTTGATTTATTTAACTTTTAATTGTTTCTTATTCTTATAGATCCAATAAACTTTGTAAGACAACTTTTAAAAACAAGTATAACAATATATTATTTACATAAAAGTGGACAGTATGACGAATTACACAGTCAGACGATAAATGAAGAAGTTGGATGTGACATTTAGTGATTAAGAAAATCTACAGATTTCACTTATGTATGGAATCTAAAAAACAAAATAAACGAACAAACAAACAGAAATGAACTCACAGATAGAAACTGATGGCTGCCAGATAGGAGGGGGCTGGGCACTGGGCGAATAAGGGGAAGGGATTAAGAAGTACAAACTGGCAGCTACAAAACAGTCACGGGGATGTCAAGTACAGCACGGGGAACGGAGTCACTGATACCGTGATAGCTATGTGCGGGGCCAGGCGGGGTCGAGACTTCTCAGAGATCACTGCATAAATTATAAAAACATCTCACCACCTGAAACTAATATTGTATGTCAACTGTAACTGAAAAAGGAAGAAGAATCTCTCCAGAGAAAGCGGCGAGAACCGAGGCAGCAAGGCTCGCACTGTCTTCACGGCCGTCTCAGGACAGCGCGCCCTTAGAGTGCGGCTGCCGTCCGGCAGGCCTGGCCACAGGTCTGACTTTCTATTTTTAGTCCATAACTAAACCATTGTTTAGAAACATTTTAAATCCTACTGCTACAGAGTTTCGACAGCAGCCTCGGAACTCAGCGTCCGTGAGCCAGACGGGGCCCTTCCAGAGTGGCGGAAAGGGAAGCCCTGGGCCCAGGCGTCATCGTCTCTGACGTCATCGTCTCTGAGGCCACAACCAGCTCCTCTAGAACACTAATGCCAACCAACTACACCAGCCGGGAACGTGCCCAAAGGGAAAAGGGGAGACGACGGAAAGCGCCCCCTCTTTCCGAATCCGACCTCCCCTGGGGTAGGGCTGGCCTCCTGCTGCGGCGTTTGCGTGTGCAGGTCAAGGGTCAGATGCTCTACCCAGGCGAGGACAGAGAGAAGGACACTGTACTTAACGCTTCCATGCCACGGCCCTACTTACGAGTGTTCCCCGGGAACGTGCCCACCCCGGCCTCAGACGATGGGCGAAGGGCGCATTTCTGAACGTTCCCCATCTCTGCTTTGACGAAGCTTACCTTGGCAACCAGCATCTGCTGCTGGTTTTCAATTTGCTGTTGCTGCCTGGCTGCCATATCTTGAAGCTCTGACAGGGTCAGTTCGACACGTGGATTCCCAACCTGCAGAGAACAAAACACACTCAGGCTGGGCTGTCCCCCTGTGTGTAAGCGCCTGTCTCTATGTCAGAATGCACACACATCAGGGTCTCCCAGAGGTTCCCTACAAGTTAGGAGAATACGAATTAGTTTATTTTCTCATAAGAACCCCCTAGTTGTTGACTGCTTTTATTAAATATTAATCACAGTTTTTCTAATATAGCGGATACTATATTTAATCAGGGGCCCCACTTGAAGCAAACTTTTGCCTGTGTGTATTGAGGTGACATGGCTCTTTGCACTGGCTATTTACTAGGTGCATCTGAATGAATGGAGAGGTCAAATGTTTAAGGGTACATGACCTGAAATATAAATGTGCAGTTGATATCTAAGGACAAATGGCATCTCGCCGCTACCCTCACGCCCTCTTGTAATTCTCAACAACGGTCCCAACCCGTTCCTGACTCTCGGTCTCCCCCGAATCTCACCGTATTCGAGCATTCTTGACTCTTGGAAAATGAAATCAGGATTTGACAGTCCCAACTGGAACCCCCACTCTGTTTATCTAAGACCCTGAGGAGGCGATATGGTCCAAGCCCCTTTTCAAAACTAGAAATTGTTAACAGCCAAGTTACGGAAACTTCCATTTAAGAAGGAATTTGTTTATTCTACCAAAAAACGCCTGAGAGAACCATCGAAATGCCCGAAATTTGTTTTAATGCTAATAAAGAGTTGCTAATTTCTACCTACTGAGATTTTCCGATCACCACATAAGATATTTTTTGAAACCTTCAGAACGTTTACTCCTTAAACACATTTCTGACCAGGGAAAAATTATGTCCATTCAACAAATCTTCCAATTTACATTAATTTCATAATTTCACAACTTAAAGAAAAAAATAAACTATCTGTGGTCTCCTCTCCCTACCAATGGCTTAGAATAGTGACATGAAGAGGACAGAAAAGGAATTTCACTGAGCGGAATTGACATTTATGCCTGTGACGAGACGGAGCTCTCCACATGCTGTGTCGTGTGTGTATTTCTAACTCCAAAACTAAGGCTATGTTGACATAAGTAACTCAGGTGTTTATCTTACGTATATACTAACGTATAATAATTTAACAAAATTTTATTGAAGTAGATCCAACGTACAGAAAACTAAACACATCAGTGTACACACAGCTCAACAAATTATTTCAAAGTAAACATTCCTGTGTAATTTAATTGTATTTAACTGTGTTATAAAAACACAAGCCACCATCAACTAGCGAGTCAACAAATATGCAACATGTTACACATCAGTACACATTCCCTTCATTGTTCGATGTGAAAATTTAGCAGAAAGAAGCGCCTTTCCAGAGTTTAAGAAAACAAAAGCCTGCGATGCATATTTGACCCTTTCGTGACGGGGCCGTCCCTGTGCTCACCCCCATGTGAACTGGAGATTCTCCAGATGAACTCGATTCAAACCAGCCTATGACCTAATTTAATTCCTCGCTTATTTCTTTTCATTGCATCTAATAAGAAGAAATCGAATCCTGTTTCCTGGGGCACACTGACGTCCCTCATCATAGCAGTTACCTGAAGGGGTCAACTCCAGGTCACAGAGAGGACAAGCCACTTCCAGGGCTGGTAAAGTCAGGGGAAGGGCTCTCTCGGTGACAGGTGGGCCGGCCTCTACAGACAAGCGCCAGAGAAAGGGACGGCTCTGCCAGCCTTCACGGGCTCCAACCCCCTTCTCGCTGGGCTCGGAGCCGACGTCCCCCCAAACCCTGGGTTCCGGGGTGGTTCTGACATTCCCGTTGAACGCAGCTCACCCTCCGGCCTGACCCTGACACCGCCCACTTCCACCACAAACGTGCCCCCGCAACTCCAGGTCTCACGACCCCCGCCCCCAAGAGCGGAGAAAACCTGAACCGGTCCTCCCGTGTCATGGTCTCACGCAGTTTCGCGTCAACCCTCCTTTCTCCAAACTGCCACAGACCTGCCTGCGGGAACGAGACTGCTGCTCTAACTCATGCTTTTGTATATAAAATATTTCCCCGACAGGAGACTTACAGGGGACTGCTGGCTGCTGAGACCTCCAGAGACTGCAGACTGGGGCGGGGTGGCAGCCTCCCAGTGCCCAGTGAGCCGCCCGCCCCGCCGAGCGGGCCCAGAAGTGGCAGCGCTGCCTCGGCCCCCAGCACACGGGCCACACTCCCACGCGGCCAGGCCGACGCCTCATCAGCTCCTTCCCCTGAGTCTTCCCCACGGGGCATCTACACCCTCGCCACCCCAACCGTCTCTCCGTCACCCAGATGTCCTCTGGCCTCGTCACCTCCCTTTCTGACCGTGGCCCTGAGTCCTGTCTCCCTGGAAAGGCTATAAGCAGCAGTGACGAGGGGGCTCTGCAAATGAAGACACTAAACCGTGAGCTTGAGACCCCGCAGCAGCAGGTGATGGAGGACGTGCGCCCGGCACTGTCCTCTGCGTACGTGACAGGGAGGATGCGAAGGGCTCGGGGGAAATGCTTCTTTTTGAGTACTGCATGTGTTTCAGACCGCGACACCGTGATAACTCATTTATCCTCGATATGCCAGATATTCTCCCAGACACTCAAGCAGCATACAAGCAAAATGCAGCTTCTCCCTGTGTTTAACGAGCCTCTATTCTGATAAATGAGCATCCCACCGATAGGTTACCCAGCAAATTCAACTACGGGGAGCAGAATCCGAGCTCAGTTTTTCTTTACTGTCACTGCGAACAGAAACAGTACTTCCCAGCGCAGCAGCGAGGACATGGAATGGCACTGTGCGCTCTTGCAAAAGCGCACTCGCTGTCCAGCCAGGCACCCGACCTAGAAAGTGTGGGAGAAGCGTGGAGAAGCAGGACGTTTCGCAGCTCCGCTGCCCGGCTCCCACCGTGTGAACACCATGGGTCTGATCGAGAGATGTCCCTTAAAACCTCCCACCCCAAAGTAACGAACCCAAATGAGAAGGGAAACCCTCTGTACATCGCTGTTCCTGCACTTAGGGAAATTCAAATAAAAATATTATTTCACGACACTCACAGTAACAAAATATAACATGATTTTCTAATTTTTATGGTCTTAGAATTAAGATTAGCAACTTCCAAAAAATTGATAAGCATATATGCTGGTTCATTTCAGATTTAAAACTTCCAAAACATCCAAATTAGCGGCAAATTAACAAAATGAAACGACAACAGGCTGCTTTAAGAAACAGCGAAATCAACGTTTACTTTCAAGATCAACTGTATTTACTGAGGCATAATTTACAGACGATAAAACAGGCCCATTCAAAGTTTCCGGCTGAATGAGTTTTGACACAGAGGTACACCTGAATGGGTTCATTCGCAAGCAGCGTAGCCACCGCCCCAGTGAAGCCACAGAACACTTCCGTCATCCCAGACGGTGTCCTCCCGCGCTGCCCGGGCTGTTCCCCTCCTTCCGCCTCCCCACATCCACCCACCCACGACGGGTGGCTGCTGTGCCGGGGTGGCCCGGTTAGCTGTTTGCTCTGAACGCACGTGCTGGGGCCCTACGGCGTGTGTCTGGCTTCTCCCCGTTACCACGCTACACAGTCGCCGCGTCGTCCCACGCCGAGCAGCACTCCCTAGTGTGCACAGCCCCCGCCTGCTCTCCCGCTCCTCTGCTGAGGGACACTGGGGTGGCCCCCACCTCGCGGCTGTGAGGAATAAAGCATGGTGAACACTCACGTCCCAGGATGTCTGCGGACGCGGGCTCTGCTCTGCCTTGGCTGGCGGTCAACGCCAGGAAGTGGGCGGGTGGGCCCTGCGGTGCGAGGACAGGACTGCGGCCAAAGCGAAGTGTCATTTTCCGCCCACCCCCACCCCCCGGCAACACGGAAGTCCTAGCTCCTCCTCGTCCAAGCCCAAACTCGGGGTCGTCGATGTTTAAATCTTAATTATCCTCTTCTTAACTAAAATGTTAACCTCTCAGCAAAGAAAGGGTTCCATATAAATGGTAATTTGATAAGTAATGAAAAAGCATAAAAATGTTCACAATTAAGCTATCAACCCCAAATGTACTAAGATTAGATTTCCAATAAATAAGCTAAGCCCACGGTTTGCCAAAAGGTAGATATGAAAAGGGGGCTTAATTTCCTAGGTTAATGTCTCATTCGTACTAATGACGTGTCTGAGTCATGAGTCATAAAGCTATCAGAATAAAGAACATTTGCAAAACAGGTTGTAAGAACTAGATTTTCTAAGATATTAAGGAACAACTCACTTGATAATTATGCTTGAAAACTTTAGATCACAAGCCAGTTGATAACATGGCTTTAATCTAATATATTTTTGTCTCCTCGGGTCATGTTTTGAATCTATTTTGAAACTGGTGTTACAGTGATTCAGTTATTAAAAACATACGATAAAGTTTCTCAAAATAAACTACTGTAGATAATCATGCAATGTACACGTCTTTCCCATCCTGAGCCGCTAATGATGAGTCTGCAGACTTTTAGTCTTTTCAAATATTAGTAAGACTCGGTTTCACATCGCATGTACTAAGCATTCTGCTAATATGTATCTACTGAATTTTTCCAGTACATGCCAGAACTAGCAAAGAATGCAATTCTACCTACGAAAACAAAGATCCAATACCTTGCACGATACCTGTTCAGTTAATGACTCTTCAATATCAAGGATCTTGAAAACTTATGTCATTTTCCTGACAAGTACTTTTTTTAATTGAATAATGACTCATCTAAAAACACACTAAATAAATGCACCATAACAAGTGATATTCTGACATTACAGTTTTGGGCAAACGAAGTTACCAATTTACTCAATCCGACCGCTCCTTGTCAGCGAACAAGACATGGGCCACCTCCGGTCCAAACTCCGTGCTCGGACGAGTCCGGGGACCTGGCGAGCGTGGCGGCGTCTCAGCGCCCGGCCCAGTGTGCACCGGCGCGACCTCCCGTCTGGCAGCGCTCTCTTGCTTAGCTTTTGTTATACTGGAGGAGCGTGCCTCGCCTATAACTTCACGTTCAGT